CTACTACTACTACTACTACGGATAGTACTCCTACTACTAGTCTTACTAGGACTACGGCTTCTACTACTTCTACTACCAATAGTTCTACTGCTAGTGATACGGGTACTATTAGTAGCACTGCTACTATACAACAGTTACTACTGTGATCACGGCGACGACGGCTAGTATTACTACTACTACGACGACGACTACTACCACTACTACGGCTACTGCTACTATTACTATTGCTGCTACTCCTTCCACTACGACTGCTACGGCTACTATATTGATTATCCTTAGTACTACTACTCCTACTACTACTATCACTACTACTACTACTACTACTACTACTACTACTACTACTACTACCACGACTACTACGACGACGACTACGATTACTACTACTACTACTACTACTACTACTACTATTACTACTACTTTTACGATTACTACTACTACTACGACTACTACCACTACTACTACTACTACTACTACGACTACTACTACTACTACTACTACTACTACTACTACTACTACCACTACTACTACTACTACTACTACCACTACTACTGCTACTACTACTACTACTACTACTTCTACTTCTATGTCTGGTATAACTACTTACGCTATTACTTGTACGACTACTACTATTACTACTACTGCTTCTACTCTTTTTACTACTACTACTACTACTACTCCTACTACTACTACTACTACTACTTCTACTACTACTACTACTACTACTACTACTACGACGACTTCTACTACTACAACAACAACAACTACTACTACTAATACTACTGCTACTACTACTACTACTACTACTACTACTACTACTACTACTTGTATTTCTGTTATGAGTTTCACTGCTACTTCCATTAGTACTACTAGTACTGCCAGTTCTACTCGCACTACTAGCATCCACAGTATTACCTGCACCACTAGAGTTACTAGCACTACTAAGTACTACTCGTACTACTAGTACTACACGTATTACTCGTACTACCAGTACTCGTGCTAGTACAAGTACTCGCATTGGAACCAGCACTCGCCGCGGTGGCCGCCGTTACCGTCGCCTCCTCCCCCCTCCCTCCCACGTAACACGTGTTACCCTTCAGGAAAAGAACAGTCTCAGCCCTTTCTGTTTTGCCAAGCCTTCTTTTTTCTTTATTGATTTGTGTGTGTGTGTGGATTTTGTTGTTGTTTTTTATGATATCTCGCTCTCTCTCTCTCTCGTTTTTTCTCTCTGTCTCTGTCTGTCTGCCTGCCTGCCTGCCTGCCTGCTTGCCTGCCTGCCTGCCTGCCTGCCTGCCTGTCTCCATCTCTCTCTCTCTCTCTCTTTCACTCTCTCCGTTTCTCTGGACGAGTGGCACGTGCGTGCCCAAACTCATACAGAGAGAGTGAGAGAGATGGTGGGTCACCGATGGCGGTGCGACCAGACGCAATGCTAAGGGTTACCCCTGTGGGCATGGAAAAACAAAGGTTAGATAAGGCTTGAAAGCCACATTGGAAACCTACAGCAACGTGTGTGTAACAAGCATGTGCAGAACTCTGGTGGTACATGCTCGACTGCTTGGGCCTCGTCGGCAAGTGCTGCCCCTTGTGCCCGCCGCTCTCCTTTCTCCCTGGACGCTGGTCGCCGGCGCAGCCCAAGGCGTGGGGGGTAGACGACGCAAGTCGTCCTTCCGTCAGGAATGGCCGAGTTAGCGGCCCCGCCCGCTTGCTGCAAGGGGCTTGGGAGCAGAGACAGCCCCGCCGTCGCTCCGCCCATTCCACCGCAGAAGCAAATATTTGTTTTATCCTCTGGCGCGTAACAGTAACAATCGTACGTAGGGGGCGGCGACATCGTACGTAGTAGGGGGTGGGACCCTCCTCACATGCTGGTGTTCGCACGCATACCATGGCGATCGCTGCGTACCCCCGATGTGCCCCACCCCACCCAAGCGTTACCGTTACCTGGGGCATCCCCTCCCGATAACGACCGCTACCGGAAATGATTCTCAAAATTACTCCCTGCGTGGAGCTCCCCATATGTGCATCTCATGTTTTATGTCATGCCGTGGCGAGCGTCTGTTCATGAGCGGTCGACTACAATAGCGCGTCCACGTGGGCGACAGGGCCGACGAAGACGAGTGACCCCTAATGCGAGTGATTGCGTATGAGTCAGAGTGAGCTTTGAGTATGGTTGAATGCGAGCCTCTTCCTCTTCATCCCCCCTCCTCAGCTGCCAGGCCTTCCCCTTTTCAGCCCGTGGTAGCTTTGGAGCTTCCCACATGTGCATATGTTGTAGGATAGTTGGCAGTGGGATATGTAAGACGAGCGTTTAGCCACACAAGGCCATAAGTGCATGTCATGTTGGAGGATAGTGCCACGGTGAGCATTTCCAACGATCCCCGCACACAACCACCGCCCCCCCCCCTCGCAGTCACCCCCTATGAATACATACGTATATATGTATATATATATACAATACATATATATATATATATATATATATATATACATATGTCCTGGACTTCGGAACAAACGTTCTGCTCGCGTCAAGGACCTTCGAGCAAAGCGCCCTCCTCCTCCTCCTCCTCCTCCTGTTCCTCCGCCCCCTCCCTTCTCCTGCTCCTGCTCCTCCTCCTCATCCTCCTGCTCCCCCTCCCCCTCCGCACCCCCATGCCCTTCCTCACGATCCCCCGCCTCCTCCTCCTCCTCCTGTTCCTCCTCCTCATCCTCGTTCCTGTCATTTCCCTCCCTGTTGAGCCCAGAAACAGGCGAACCGCCTGAGACATCCCCACAAAATGGCCGCGAACGAGCCCGTGCAACCACCCCTGGCGGCTCCCCTTAGGGGTGCTGAAACCAGCGCCCCGCCTGAGACATCCTCACAATCTGCTCTCCAAGCGAAGGATGTTGAGCCCAGAAACAAGCAAACCGCCTGAGACATCCCCACAAAATGGCCGCGAACGAGCCCGTGCAAACACCCCTGGCGGCCCCCCTTAGGGGTGCTGAAACCAGCGCCCCGCCTGAGACATCCTCACAATCTGCTGCTCTCCAAGCGAAGGATGTCGAGCCCAGAAACAAGCAAACCGCCTGAGACATCCCCACAAAATGGCCGCGAACGAGCCCGTGCAACCACCCCTGGCGGCTCCCCTTAAGGGTGCTGAAACCAGCGCCCCGCCTGAGACATCCTCACAATCTGCTCTCCAAGCGAAGGATGTTGAGCACAGAAACAAGCAAACCGCCTGAGACATCCCCACAAAATGGCCGCGAACGAGCCCGTGCAAACACCCCCTGGCGGCTCCCCTTAGGGGTGCTGAAACCAGCGCCCCGCCTGATACATCCTCACAATCTGGCTCTCCAAGCGAAGGATGTTGAGCCCAGAAACAAGCAAAACCGCCTGAGACATCCCCACAAAATGGCCGCGAACGAGCCCGTGCAAACACCCCTGGCGGCTCCCCTTAGGGGTGCTGAAACCAGCGCCCCGCCTGAGACATCCTCACAATCTGCTCTCCAAGCGAAGGATGTTGAGCCCAGAAACAAGCAAACCGCCTGAGACATCCCCACAAAATGGCCGCGAACGAGCCCGTGCAAACACCCCTGGCGGCTCCCCTTAGGGGTGCTGAAACCAGCGCCCCGCCTGACACATCCTCACAATCTGCTCTCTAAGCGAAGGATGTTGAGCCCAGAAACAAGCAAACCGCCTGAGACATCCCTACAAAATGGCCGCGAACGAGCCCGTGCAAACACCCCTGGCGGCTCCCCTTAGGGGTGCTGAAACCAGCGCCCCGCCTGAGACATCCTCACAATCTGCTCTCCAAGCGAAGGATGTTGAGCCCAGAAACAAGCAAACCGCCTGAGACATCCCCACAAAATGGCCGCGAACGAGCCCGTGCAACCACCCCTGGCGGCTCCCCTTAGGGGTGCTGAAACCAGCGCCCCGCTTGAGACATCCTCCAAATCTGATGTGTGTTGAGTAAGTCTGAGTATGAGTAGGTCTGAGTATGATTATGCCTGAGTATGAGTAAGTCTGTGTATGAGTAAGTCTGTGTATGAGTAAGTCTGGGTATGAGTAGGTCTGTGTATGAGTAAGTCTGTGTATGTGTACGTCTGGGTATGAGTAAGTCTGAGTATGACTTATACTGTGTATGAGTAAGTCTGGGTATGAGTGAGTCTGTGTATGAGTACGCCTGGGTGTGAGTAAGTCTGTGTATGAGTAAGTCTGTGTATGAGTATGTCTGAGTGTGAGTAAGTCTGAGTATGAGTAGGTCTGAGGATGAGTAAGTCTGAGTATGAGTAAGTCTGTGTATGAGTAAGTCTGAGTATGAGCAAGTCTGAGTATGAGTAAGTCCGACAGGAGGGGAGGAGGAAAGAGGAGGAGGGAGAAGGAGAGGGAGTAGGAGGCGTCCAAGTAATAACAAGAACCCCATCTTAGGATATGGGGAACAGATCGCCATTTGCTTGCTGCAGGGGGTTTGGAAGCAACGACGACCACACCGCGCGGTGAGTCAGCGGGGATTCGGGGTCACCGCACAGTTTTTGGACCAGGGTCGTTCTCCGACACCGCGCGGTGAGGTCTCGTGGGGTTTCGAGGTCGCCGCGCGGTCCGTCACCATGCCGTTTGGGGGTTCCAGACAAGGCCACGTCCCCCCCCCGGGTATCGCCCCCTCCTGCGCGCCGTTGAGATTGCTTGGTGCCGACCAGACCGGGGAGATCTGTGGCGCAGGCGCAGGTCCAGGGATCGAGCTGCACAGGGCATCGTCGCTTGTGTGTGTGGTCCTTCATGTGAGCCTCAGAGAGTCCCACAATTCCTGGCGGTTTGGGGGATTTTGTCGGATCTGGTCGACATCTGGACGAAATGTTGTCGAAACCCGATACGACATCTGGACGAAATCCGGTCGAAATCCGGTTGAAATCTGCACGGCATCTAGACGAAATCCGGTCGAAATTACGTTTATGATAGGGCGGCGGAGGTCCACATAGGCTCCCATGAAGGCTCACCCAACGTCGCCCTTGTTTTCTTCGGCGCCCGCGAGGTCCTCACCCAGCTCCGGCACCAGATCGCTCAGAAGAGGCTCCTTCTCGAGCAGCTGGCGCCCTCCAAGGTCTCCCGCCTGCCGCCAGCGCAATGGAGTGGCAGATCTCGGGGCGTCGGGGCGGGCGTCAGCGCTGACGGAGGTCACCCAATCTCGTCTGATCCCATTTGGTTGGCCCAGCTTCGGGAGCCATGTGATACGGGGCCCGAAAATACACACCACCGCCTCCCTCACCCCCTCCCTCGCCCAGGAAGGAGGGAGAAGTAGGCTGGAGGAGGGGCGGGGGGATGAAGGTGACGGTGACGTATATGCTTGACACCCGCATATGAAGCGTTCTTAGAAGGGCCTCGCTTTCGACGACCTACGGGGTCGAAATCTCTTCTTCGGCGGAAAGCATTCGGAAGGCGGCAGAAGTAAAACGAGGGCGGCTCCGCCATCGGAAGCCGGCGGAAGGCCAGTTGGGCACGAAGTTACACGCTTGCTTTTGCTTGTTCCTTGTCGGGTTTCTGGTTAAGCATATTGCTTATACCAGCGGCGTCCACACGGCACGCAAGCATCCTGCGCCGAATGAGGGATGGTGCGCGCCGTCGGAAGGCCTTCGGAAGCAGGCGGAAGCAAACGCTTGCCCTCCAGGAGACGACACTTTTGTTGAGATTCGGAGCTTCCGGAACGGGGCTTTGGAGCTGTACTGTGCGGCCAGTTTGGACCCACCATATGGCCCAGGCCGACTCGGCTTGCAATCAGCGCTGACCTAGGATATTGTGTTTTGTTCATCATTTAGCGCGTAACGGTCGTTACCCTGCCGCTATCTTTCCTCCCTGGGCGCGGGTCGCCCGCGCAGGCCAAGGCGTCGGGGGTAGAAGAAACAAATCGTCCTTCCGTCAGGAAGTGTCGAGTTTTCGGCCCCGTTCGCTTGCTGCAAGGGGCCGGGCTTGGGGAGCAGAGACAGCCCCGCCATCGGTCCGCCCTGTCCACCGCAGACACGGAGATTGTTTTTGCTACCCTCTGGCGCGTAACGGTCGTTACCTGCGCCCCCCCCCCCCTGGGAACAGTAACGATTGTGCGTGGCGTGGGGTGGCTTGGGACCCCCCACACTTGCTGGTGCTCCCCCGCAGATTGTGGCGATCGCAGCGCACCCCCGGCCCGACATGCCCCACCCCGCCCAAGCGCAACCGTCACCCCCCCCCGCGCCGGGTAACGACCGTCACCGGAAGAGAGAAAAGAAAGTGACAAAACAATCTCCAGGGCAGCGCGCCCCCAAAGTTGCATTGCAAGATCCAGTTTCGCTTCCGCGCATCCGCCGCTGCGCTTGGGGACGCAGCGTAGGTGGCAGCATTGTAGCGTGGCGCACGGCAGTGGCTTTGCACGGACGTCACGATGCCTCTCGGGGACGGGTTTTGGAGCTTGTTGGGGGTGCGGTTCGGGGTGTCGGGGTGGTCTCGGGACAGCTGGGCGGGTTCTGGGGTCGCGGAGTGTCTCGGGGCTGGTCCTTGGCCGTCTCGGGGCCGTCTTGGACAGTGACTTGGGGAGGCCTCGAGGTAATCTGGGGCGGCCTCCAGAGGGCGCCGCCCGCGCGGCCCGAAAGCCGCCCACGCGCCAACCAGTGACAATCTCGATCAGCACAAGAATTCAGGAGGAAGTTGTCCGCCATCCCAGAGCACTCTTGCTATGTTGCTTTGCTGCGCGTTGGCCGCGCGAGGGCCCGAAGCCCTCGCAGAGCTCTGCCACAACAAGCTACTTCTGCTCGTCTCTCGCATGGGTGACCAGGATGACCCGCGACTGGTATTCGGCCGCGAGCGAGGGGGGGAAGTAAGAAGGGGCGGGCCTTCTCAGAAGGCTCGGAAGTTCCCCGGCCTTCTGAGAAGTTGTCCAAGCCTTCCCCGAAGACACAGAAAACTTCTCAGAAGGCGCGAGGGCTTCTGAGAAGTCCCGCCGCCTTTGATAAGGCCTTCTCCTTCTCATTATCCCCCCTCGCTCGCCTCCAAGATATTCATTTGACCTCGAGATGTTCCATGCCGTGTGCGATTAAAGGTGGGTCCGCGCCGCGTTGACGCGGCGGCGGCGCCAGTGTGGGCGTTCGAGGTTGAACGTCACCAGCTACCTGATCTCGGCCAGTATTGAAGCAGGTCAGATGCCAGAAAGCGGCGATCTTTCAAGGTTGGTCGATGCGCTTAGCGTCAGAACCAACGCCCACGTCATCACGACGCTAGCTTGCCGCACAGCTTCTCTTTCAAGTCGTGATGATCTTGTTGGACTTCGCGCCGCGGAGCGCCCGCGCAAGATCCGATGGGGCCCACCTGCTCGCCGGGCCCACCCGCGGGGCTCCCAGGGCTCTCGCCAGATCTCTGCGGGGCGGATTCTTCCGACCGTCGTCGTGGTCGTCCTTGTCGTCGGCCTCGTGCTCCCCTCACGCTCATCAGCATCATGGCCATCACCATCACCAACGTCATCACCGCCACCACCATAGCCATCGTCATCGACGTCGTCATCATTATCGTCATAACTGTAGTAGTAATGGACAACCTCATCATCATCATCAGCAGCAGCATCATCATCAACATGATTATCAGCATCTTCATCATCAGCAGCATCATCATCGTCATCATCATCTTGATCAGCATCATCATCGTCGTCGTCGGTGTCGTCGTCGTCGTCATCACCATCACCATCACCACCACCCTCAACATCATGATCATCATCATTATCATTATTACCAGTATTGTTATCATAATCGTCGTCGTAATCGTCATCGTGATCGTTCTCGTCCTCGTTCTCGTTCTCGTCGTTGCAGTCGTCGACCAGCGATTGGTGGATCCTGTGTTGTGTTCCGTATCCCGGACTATCGTGTGATAGTTTTGTCAGTGGGATGAGGTCGCCAGTGACACAAGTGCTGCTCGATCCACACGATGTTGTGCCAGGTCCCACAGGGCGACTCCCGCGTCTGCGCAGGGGACGGGGGGAGAAGCGAGCGAACGAGCAGCAAGCCCACAGCGCCAGGAAGCTGTCTTCACATGGCGTGGCCGGTCTGGGGGAGGACTGGACACATGTGTGGCCAGATGTCCTTCCAGAGCTCGGTCCTCGTGGGGCTGGGCCCGCTGGCCCGCAGCATGTGCATCCAGCGCGTGGCCCCTCGATGTTCCACGTGTGGGTCTGGCCCATGCTGGAGGCGAGCAGGTCAGGGCCCACGGACGGCCGCGGGACACTGACGGAGGAGGACGCGAGCCTAGCTCAGGTCGGCTCCCGCTCCGATGCTCCCGCCGAGCTCTGGCCGCTGATGCGGCATTGGGGGGGACAGTCACTCAGGCCGCCAGATTCGGGCACATCAGCGAGGGCCCG